GTGGCCCCGGACATGGAATCAGGTATAGTAACTAATTAATTAATTATAGAGAAAATAACAATTTTAATTAACTAATTAAATATGGATATTTACTCTTTGTACTTAACAATTAATAAGTTAACTAATTAATTGATGGCATGGTGAGTTTAGCATTGGAAGCTTAGGGTCTGGGAAATCGAAGGCTTATGTGTCTAACGTTGTTGTGAATGGAGCAAAGCTATCTGGAACCGAAAATGGAGTCAGGATCAAGACATGGCAGGTAACCTTAACATCACATCTTAGTAAATAATCAGCTAGTGATTGTATTGTCTTTTCTCAAAAGGTTGAATCTCAACCCTCAGGGTCTTCCACGTCCACCCGATAGAGCATTTAAAAAGATGCATGTAGATTACAGTGACTCAATGACATGTAATTATATATGTATATATGCAGGGAGGATCTGGAAGTGCAAGCAACATCAAATTTCAAAACATAGAAATGCATGATGTGAAGAACCCCATAATTATAGACCAAAACTATTGCGACCAAAAGGGCCCATGCAAATACCAGGTAGACAAAAATTGAATATAATATTACTTTTACTCGATCTACTGACTACTTTCAATCATATATCGACTATCAACTTGACCACTTAAATATTGAATTATATATGCGTGATATATAGAGTTCAGCTGTTCAAGTAAAAAACGTGGTATACGAGAACATAGCAGGCACGAGTGCGACGGAGATAGCGGTGAAGTTTGATTGTAGCAAGAATCATCCGTGCAAGGGAATAGTGATGAAGAATGTGGAGTTGGTAGGGGAAGGAGATGAAGTTGCAAAAGCTGAATGCAACAATGTGAGGTTCAGCAACCTTGGAACTGTCTCACCAAAATGCCCACCACCTTAATTAGGTTCACAATCACACACAGGACTAATATAATGATAAGATTAATAATGTTGTACCATTATACATACAGACATTCATTCTACAGTAGAAGAATCATATCATAGGGATTCCTTCATTATAATTAAGTTCATTAAACAATAATGTACGTTGATTGTAGGTGTTATATATGAAAATAAGATTGATTGTATGTAATGAATGGGAAATGGGAATATGAACTTTATTTATTACATTTCTTTAAATGGGAATGATATAATAAAGAAACTAACATTTGTATGGAATTAAATATAACCTTTTGACTTAAGAATAAACATAACACAAATAATATATTGCAAATTAAATAAAGTTATAAGATTGCACTAATTGGCAAGAGTATTATGAAGAAAAGGATAATTGCCATGCCAACCGTACGTAGCAAAAATCGAGAATTCAAGGTGTAGAATAGTGACCATCTTGGGATCTGTTCCTCCTCTCATCTGCCTCTTAGATCATTTCCAACCCATACAATTCCAAAACACCAAATTTTTTCAGCAAATGTCACATCATAAGGAAATTCTCAGCATATTTTCATACCAAATTTTATTCATCCCTAACTCATTTACACAAAAATATCAAACTTTTACACTAAAATAATTTTATTTTTCAATTATTAGTTCAAATTTATTTAGTTTAATATAATTTAGTTCGATCCTAATTAGTTTAATATAAAATATAATTTGTAATGTAAATAATAATTTTTATTAACATTAATTTTTTTTATAAAATTAATTATTTAAAAAATTGAATGTAATAATATTTTTAAAAGTTTAATTTATTCCACAATAATAATATAATATAAAACATTTAATACATTTAATTATCATAAATTATTAATTTTATTTTAATTAATATATATTCAATATTAGTCTTGTTTCGATCGTCTCAATGAGATTTTTAAAATGGTAGAATTTATATTTAATAATACAAACTTTAAATATAAGTATTTAATAAAATAATAAAATTCTATATAAACAAATAGAGGACAAATTTGAAATTATAAAAAGAAGCAGGGACAAAATAGTACATTTGTTTTTCATCCCTAATTTTCCGTTGATGAACAGTGCTACGCCATCCCTATATGGCGCAACACTGTTCAGTAACACCAAAACAAAAGGCGTTATGGTGTTTTGCAGTTACACATTGGAGCATTATATTTTGTAGGGATGGAGATTTGGTATTGAAATATGGCGTTTTGCAGCTCCTTTGGAGATGCTCTTATATATGGACTTGGATCTCAAATAGTTTTAACCAAATTTAATTATTCTTCAATTGGGTTGTAAAGTTTTAGTCAATTTTTTGGGCTAGTGAATTCGATTGGACTCATTTCATTAGGTGTTGATAATGTTAATAGTTCAGGGGGCTATGTGCTACAGAATGTTATAATAATTAAGTAGTAGAGAAATGGGATAGTAATGAAGTAATATTATTGGCTATCTCAGAAGTGAAGTCCATTTTACAAGTGAACTTGAATGTATTTGTTGAGGTTGGGATATCTAGCAAGTTCATTTGTTAGGTTTTTTTTTTTTTTTTTTTGGGTTTTGAGAGGTATGACTAAGAAATAAAAAAATGGGAGGGAGGAGAAAAAAAAGGAATCAAAAAATAAAAAACAAAAATAATTTTTTTAAAATATGTGCAAATGAACGCGTCCAACTGGGTGCTGGATGTACGCCAAATACGCATTAATTCAGTATCCTTCTGTCATTTCTCTCTCCTGCGAGACCCACAAAAAATTAGGGTCTTGCAGGAGAAAAAACATCGAAAAAACCACTTCTCTCATTTGTGTAAAAACCATTGTTTAATTTTTTGGCATGCAAAAACCACTAATGTACATGATTGCTCTTAGGTTTCAAAAGTCAAACCCCTTTTTAGTATACCAGAGTATAGTATTTATAGGGTTATAGCATGTGACATATGTTGAATATCCCTTGACAATGCAAAGTTGACGGGGCAAACATGCATGGGCAGCCCGAGTCTACCATAAAATGTGTCAGGTAGTAATGTGACTTTTAAATTATTAGTGACAGTTGATGTGATGTTTGTGTAACTAGAAACTGACTTATAGGGTTAAAAGGTCGAGAAAGCTTAAAGAGAGGTCGAGTCAATTTATTCATACTGTGTACAATTTGCATATACGCTCTGTATATACCAATCAAGCTTCTCATTGATCGAGCATACACAACCTCAACACAAGCACACCACTTTTCAACCTAAATTATTGTGTCCTATTTCTTACAAAAAGTAAATGTGTTTAAGCATAAAATGGGTAAAGAGCTGAGAAATACGATTATTCGAAGCAATGTTTTTTCTTTAGTTTTGTATTTTGAGTACAGTCAAAATAGTACAAGTAATTAGGTAAATTATAGTAATACTACACTAATACAACCAATAACCAAGATAGGTCAATGTCACATAATAAAATTTTAATTTCAAATTATTGAGTTCAAGGTGAGAAGAATTATTCATATGAATTTTAAGCTAGTTGGCATAAACATTGCCATAATGTCCTAATTCACTTTACATAGGTAGGAAAAAAAAAAAAAAAACATTTTTATATTTTAATTCAAATAAAAAAAAATCAATATAAATTGTGCGTCGATGATAATTTTTAATACGGGATGGGGTCCAAGTCATATTAGCAGAGTTGAAGGGGTCTATATGAAATTCCCCAAAGTAAAAGCCTACCTCGCTTGCCTGAGGAAACAACCCGCTTCGCCGATAGAAATTAGAATAGCCGCAATCGCAAACTGGTCAAAGACAGTCGTTCCGAATTTTCTCCAAAGATCTCTGCACTTCATTCGGTAAGCTCCTCTTCATCTATATCCGCCACACACAATCGCCATCGAATCCTTATTGCTAGCTTTTAGCGTCTCTGTAATTTTGCAATTGGAATCATTTTTAGGGTTTCCATGATCTGCGCTGCTAAGTTTGACGATACGGTTTTGAGATTTACTCGTTATGCCTCGAATCAGGATAGTAGGAATTCTTCGATCTGCACTTTTGGTTTTTATTAGTGTGCATATGAGCTCAAAGTTAGGAAGCATGTGATATACTTTTTAGTATATGAAATCAAATTATCTAGGTTTATGTATTGGAGATTCGGCCTGTGGCCAACCATTTAAAACAAACCCTGTAACTAAACAAGTTGGTTTAAATTCCTGAAATTTCTTATGATGTGCTATGGATTGGAATTCCACCCATCTCTGCATTGTTTTCCTATATGAGGGTAGTATGTATATTGTGTGTATGCAGGGTAGCTTTAGTATACCAATGTTTATGATGTCCTCTAGGAATGACAATGGGAAAGAAAATCAATTAGAGAGTGATAAGGGTCTGTTTCTTTTGTGAGAATTAAGGTTTTATCTTATTAAATATGGTCTGCTGGTGTCTTCTCAATGTGTTTCCACCAGGCACAATGGCTGGTGAAATTATGCCTTATTTGTATGAAAAAAAAGGGTTTTGTATCTCAAAACAACTCATTGATAATTAAAATATAGAAGCAGAGCTGCTTGTTTCCTCCTCGGCCACCAGATTCTTTGATGAAAGGCAGCTAGCTGCTCAACTTTATGACCTTTTCTTTTATAATTGTGCTGTCATATACTAAGAGTGGGTTGCTTTTTCCAGTTATTGGAGTTCAGCAATGTCAGGTCCTAAAATAATTTCTGCTCTTGCGGGATCATTTGTTGTTGCTTATGTTTTCGACCACATTATTTCTGACAAGAAGATTTTTGGAGGCAAGTTCTGACTCTTTAGTATGATTTGTTTGGTTTTGCTAGTGTTGTCTAACCTTGAATGGCATTTCAAATTAGGTACAATTCCACACACTGTTTCAGAAAAGGCCTGGTGGGAAGAGACTGACAAGAAGTTCCAGGCATGGCCTCGGACTGCTGGCCCTCCAGTTGTTATGAATCCAATCAGCCGCCAAAATTTCATTGTTAAGTCGGCTGACAATTGACAAAGTTCATGCAGCCATACGTTACCATTGTCACTTCATAAGAACAAACAATTCTTTTTAAGCTTCAAACCATGAAATGTTTTGGATCCGGATGGTATCCTTTGTTTCGCTTTTATCTTGTATGATGATGAAGAAGACAGTTTTGGGGTAGATGATAATAAATGCTTGTTGGTTTGTGTTTATGCAATGAGCTTTAAACATTCAGACAATGCATCTTACTATTACATTTTGTATACATGTGTTTTGCATCGAGTGCCTTTGCTTCATCTATGTTCTACTTTGCACATAAGCATGCATTTTTATAGTTTATACTAGAAAATCCACAAAAGGAGAAAACTTGCAGGCTCAAAAACATAATAGTAAGACAGATCTTACTAATATGGGGGGCCCTTTTTTGCTTTTACTACCCCTCAATCATATATCTCATTACCATTTTTTGGTACATCATACAACTCATCTACATTGCAGCATTGCATCAACAAATGCTTCTTAAATCTTAATACAGGAAATGTACAGATTTTGCTCACTGATACACCATAGAATAAAGATGAAAGCTTGCATATCTTCATAACTACCATAAGGCCAAAAGGGTTCAAGAATTGAAACCAAGAACTTGGAAGATTCACTTTTATACAGTATTCAATTCTCTGTAATTTCTTGAAGCATTTCAACAACCTTCTTCATTTTGGGCCTTTTTGCCGGCGTGCTGTCAGTGCAAAGCAATGCAATCTTTAGGGCCATTAGCATCTCTTTCCTCCAAGAAAATGAAACAGTACTAAGTCTAGAATCAAGAATCTGCTCAGGTGTTTCCCCTCTTGCAGGTGCGCCATGAACCATCTTAACTAAATCTATTCCTTCGCCAAAGGCTTCATCAACGGGTAGTCTGGTGGTAAGGATCTCGAGCAAAACAACCCCGTAGCTGTACACATTTCCTGGCGGTGTTACTTGCATTGTATATGCGTACTCTGACAAAGAAGAGATATCTTTAGATTTGAGATAAAAGATACACAACCAAGGCTCAATTTTGTGACTTTCCCTCAAAGAGAGCCACAGAGGTGCTATCTGAGCAGAAGATATTTGACAGATAAAAGATATATTTAAAATAAATATAATTAGGAGTAACTACCTGGCGGAATATACCCAAATGAGCCAGCAACAGCAGTGATGCTTGCAGTCCCTCTGGACGGGTCGAGAAGTCTAGATATTTCAACTTCACTAACCAAAGGCTTGAAATTGGAATCCAGAAGTACATTGCTGGAAGAAATGTCGAGGTGGATAATGGCGAGGCTGTGAAGGAAAGCCAGCCCTTCAGCCACTCCAATGGCCATGGAGAGTCTTGTTGGCCAATCGGGATTGTATTCTGGTTTCTTGGTAGATTCATGAAGAAACTCAGCGAGTGTCCCATTGGGGAAGTATTGATGGAACAGAAGAACAGTGTCTTCGTAGATTGCAAACCCAACAGGTCTGATCAGATTGTTGTGACAGAGCTTGCTAAGCTTTTCAAGCTCTCTGATAATCTTGCTCTGGTGTTGTACGATTGTTCTGTCCATTGATTTTAGCTTCCGAACTGACAAAATCATCCCAGAAGGCATTTCTGCCCTGTAGACGGTGCTGAAAGTACCATTGCTAACCATATTTGCATCTTTCGTAGCTGCCTTTGCAGCTTCATCGAAATCAATTGCTTGGCTAAGATTTTCAACAAAAACGTTTCCTGCAATTATCGCAGGTATGCTGCACACTTCATCGGTGACTGTTTCCTCAGCTTTGACAGCCTTTTCTTGATTCTCCCTCATCATAAACAGAAAGACAATGATACTCACACATACAAAAACTGCCAAACCAGAACCGATAACTGTCAAAGCATTCTTGTAGGAAGCCCTGTGATGGTAAAAATGGTTGTAATGGTCCAAATTTGGGCAACCATTACTCAAGGGGCTGCCACAGAGGCCTTTGTTTCCAATAAAACTTGTATTTAAGCTCTTTTGGAATGGCAAGAAGGTAGGTATCCTCCCGGTGAATTGGTTGTTGGAGAAATTAACCTCTATCAAACTTAGCATGCCAATACAGGTCGATGGGATGCTACCCGACAGCTTATTATTAGAGACATCGAGAGAAACTAACTTGTCGAGTTTTCCCAACTCCTGAGGCAACTTTCCACTCAGATAATTGTAGCTCACGTTCAATGCGATCTGCAAGCTCCTCAAATGGCCTATCTCGGGAGGGATATTCCCGCTGAGGTAATTGTTCCCTACTTGTAATTCAAGCAGCTTTATGCAGTTCCCGATCTCATGAGGTATCTCTCCTCTTATCGAATTCTGATCTAGCAGTAGATATTGCAATCTGGAAGCATTGCAGATGCTTTGAGGAATGGAGCCGTTGAATCTGTTGTGGCTTAAATCCAGCTTATTGAGATTTTTCACCTCAAGAAGTGAGGAAGGAATCTCACCGAAAAGGCTATTTCCCGAAACAATCAACTCCTGCAGATTGGAAAGTTTGCCAAACTCGGGAGGGATTCTTCCGGTAAACCCATTTGAGGCCAAATTGAGCAGAGTGAGATTAGAGCACAGAGAAAACTCGGGGACAATCTCCCCTGACAGGTGGTTATTATCCACTTCGAAGTAAGTAAGGCTAATGATATTACCAACTGTTTTAGGAAGGGTTCCTATAAACCTATTATTCCCAATTCTAATGCTTGAAATGCCTTTACAATTCCCAATAGATTGAGGAATATTGCCAATCAAATTATTCTGTGTCAGAACTAAAACCTCTAGCTTCTTTCCAGCAAATATACTTTCTGGGATTATGCCTTCAAGCTGGTTCGAGTGAAGGTTCAACAACTTAAGCTCAGAATTGAGGCCTAAATTTGCAGGAATTGCACCACTAAATTGGTTCTCATAGGCTGCAAATACTCTGAGGTTGGTCAGATTGCCCAACCACATTGGCATCGAACCATTCAACCTATTGCTAAAAATCTGAAAATCTTGCAACTTCTCAAGACCCTCGAATTCGTGAGGCATTGCTCCTGAGAGCCAGTTGTGTGAGAGGTTCAATGCTTTAAGGTTTCTAAGCCTACCCAATTCTTTGGGGATTGAATCCTCAAACATATTAAAAGACAAATCAAGAAATTGAAGCTCAGAAAGTTCACCAAAAGCAGGTGGAATAGATCCTTGGAAATTATTAGCAGAAAGGTCCAGCCACCTCAATGCTTTGAGCTCAGATATTAAGGTCACATTACCTTGTAGCCTTAAGCCAGAAAGATCAAGCCTCTCCACCATTGATTCCCCCAAGCTGCACCCAATGCCATGCCAAGAGCAGAAATCAGAGCCGTTCAAATTCCACCCTGATATTCCTAGCTCTTTCCCAATTGCTACCAATGTGGTCTGATCATCTAGAGTCAGACCCTGAGCACTACCTAGCTGAGACCTTACTATCAAACCAACCAGAACAACACCAAACAAGCTCAAAAACCCCATTTTTTTAAGGTTATTTTCAAGTTTCAACATGCCCTCTCTCTCTCTCTCTCTCTCTCTCAAATTCTCCCTTTTTCCCTCCAAATGCCCACAAATAGGAACAATGAAGCAAGAAAATGCAAGACCCAATTTTTCTTCAAGAAATCACTCAAAGAAGTGTATATTGGGGGATGGGGCCAGGGAGGTGTGCTGTGGGCTACAAAAAGATTTGAAATTGGAACACCATTACAAAAGATTTGAAATTGAAGCAAGTCAGAAGCAAAGCAAGCCCTTAAAATCAGGAAGAAAAAGGCACACAGTACACACACACAATCAAGAATCTCAGACGACAATAAATGAAAAAGCAAACGAAACAAACACAAACAAACAAAGGGGACACAGGAAAAGGAGGCAGCGACTAATGAAAAAGGGCTCCTATACACTTAAACATACACAACAGTGAAATACAACACAACACAACACCAATGTGAGCACGAGAGAGAGTCGCAGAGTCTGAGCAGGAGAGGAGAGAAACAACAATGGAACATAGCATTTTCTTGGAAGAAGAAACATAGGAAATGAAAGATAGGAAGAAGCCAAAGGGCATACTGTTTGGGAACAGTAGAGGAAGGGCATGACATGCTGGATACTTAGATATCAGTCCGACATCCTCAGTATCCATGACGTATGTTTTACAATTATATACTCCGTAATAACAAATCCAAGACTTTAATACTCCGTAATACTTTTGTTAAAGGATTTGATATAATATAATTTATATTTCAATCTTAGATTATAATCCCTATATTTAATATTAGATAAAAAGAGAACAATATAAATAAAATAAACATAACCAAATATCTTGGTAATGTTCTTTTGCTTTTGCTGTCGTTTTATAGAAATAGAAAGAGTCTCTTTTACACATCAAAAGTTAAGTTTGTGGAGGCTTACTAATCGCCTCATGTCCTTAAAAAAAAAAAAAAAAAAAATATCGCCTCATGTCCGTTGTTTAGAATTATGAGAAAGCAAGAGGTAGAAGTGCATTGATTAGGTGTTTTCACTCAAGTAAGAAGATGATATATGACCCACGGCTAAAAAATGAATTTTTAAATCAATTTAATTTTTAAAAAAATAAAAGAAATTACTAAAATATGGTATGGTATATAATACTCCGTATATATTATCTTGTGAAAATTTATAAATATTCCAAAAAAAAAAAAAAAGAGAGAGTATGGTATGGTATAATTATATAATTAAAGTATGCCAAAATTGACATTCCATCAAATATGAATTCCCACTGCACCTATTCTTAAAGTTTGACTTAACACAAAAGTTAGTTGTTTAGAGTATGGGCGCGCGGGATGAGATCCTTTTTTGAGGAATTAAATTGGATTCTCATCCAAAAAGAGGGATTTTACGAAAAAAAAAAAAAAAAAGAATTTTGTTAAAAAAAAAAAAAAAAAAAAAAAAAAAAAAACTCATAAAGCAAATGAGTAATTTCATTGTGGAATCTGTGAATAATGTGATTTGGCTCTCTCTTTTGAGGACATGCATCATGACCAACACCTATCTTGGGTCCCTCACCCCACATTTATTTTAAATAATGAATTCCTAATAATTGATACATATGTTTATTTTATTCTATTATTAATTAATTTTACGAGATATTCTGTTTTTTTTTTTCTTTTTAGGCTTATAGTCAATATAATTGATATAAACAAATTACATGATGGAAATGTAAATGTTAAAAGAAAAAAGAAAAAAAAAACTAACGAGTTGTTCCCACTTGTAATCATCAAGTTTAAGCAACTAGCAATTACAAGTAAATATTTGATTTTTAGGTCTAATTGCACGAAAGTCAAAAATTGATATGTTTAATTGCTATTTTTAAAAGTTCAAGGGCTTAATTGCCTCCTTATAATGTTCCGCGACTTATTTGACCATTTTTTCAAGATCAATCAAAGTTATTTCAAAAAAAGACTAACCAAAGTGAAATAAACTCTTAACTTTTTAAACATAAAAAAAAAAAAAAAAAAAAAAAAAGTGTTCCTCATCATTTGTTGTGCATTAAAAAACTATATTAAATCTTGTATGCCTTGCCTTCACTCCATTGAAGTTGATTAATTTATAAGTAATTAATTATTAGCACTAATAAAGCAAGTAGCTAGATTACATATATCTAAAGTAGCGTGCATGCGGCACCAATAAAGCAATTGTTAATTACCCGCCAACATAATAATTAGATTAATTAATTAAACTGGCCTACAAAACATCATATATCCATTAATCATGCTAGCTAGCTAATTAATTAAGGTTTAATTTAGTCTGTAAGCATTGAATCCTAAACCCTAACCTAAACTATGTGCTCTTGTCTGCTCCATAATGAAGACGACGACCTCCAAACACCGACGACAGCTCATCAAAGCCTTCATACCTCAGTGACCCAGAAGGAGAATAATAGCAATCCTCTCCTGCACTTTGAACACTATTCTGCCGCAGGGTTCCATCTTCTTGACCGCCATTTTCGTGAATGAAGACAAAGTTGTCTGTTGCTGAGATTGTCGGAATGTCGTCTATGGAGATAGATTGCGCGCGTGCGCCGCCGTAGGAATTGTACGGCGCAGCCACTGTTTGTAGCTGCGGCGGCGGCGGCGGCTGTGGCTGTTGTTGCTCGTCGTTGAAGTGACGACAACTATTCTGATCAACAATGTCGTCGTTCTTATCCTCCTTCTTGGCTTTTTCGTTTCTGTATATTTTGCACAATACAGTGTCCAGCTGCATCCAACAGTAACTCAACTTGGAATTAATTAAAGTATGTGTAACATCAAGCCAAAATACATAGAACAAGTTTATCCAGAGCACACCTTCAAATAGTAGTTACGGCTTTTTCTAATCACTTAATATATATATATATATATATATATATATATATAGACCAGAGGCAACTCAAACTAAGTTGATTAGACTGTTGAATTGGTAACAACAAGATTACAAGTTCAACTTCCGATGAGAACTATCTATTAACCTTTTTAGTTTGAACTGATCAACTATGTGCTGGCTTAGGAGATTCTTTACTAAATAGGGTCATATATCAGAGTTTATTCACCTCCCCACAAAAAAAAAAAAAAAAAAAAAGACAAGACAAAGACATATATACCTCCATGTTATTTGGAGTTGCAGTGTTCTGGGTCTTTGTAACCGGTTGAGGATGCCGGTGAATTCTGTACTCGTGCATTTTCCAGTTGGTTCTTGTTGGTTTCTTCTGATAATGTCCTTCATAGAAATCTAACGTCTTCTTATATCCCATCACGCTTCCTTTGTGAACCACGGCGGTGTCGATTCCGGTGGGCTTCCAAAACCCTCCGACGGCCTGTCGCTTCGGGCGGCTGCCGTTTGGGTATTTCCGATCCCTCGGGCTGAAGAAGTACCATTCGTTCTCCCTATGATCTTCATCCCTCTCTAATTAAAGGTGCATGCATTGCATATTTCAAACACAGCCAAAAATAAAAACACTAATATATGAGATGGCATGTATGATGTATGTACGTAATTGAAATTGTGAGGATTGGAGGGGCTTACGACATAGTTGTTGAGGAGTATGGTTGTAGATATCAATTCTTCGAATCTTGTTCCTAGGCAAAGGCTTCTTCTTCTCAACCTCCCTCTTCAAATATTTAACCACCAGCTCTTCGTCCTTTGGCCGAAACCGGATACCATCCGGAAGAGACCTAAAGTACCGTTCGTCATCTTCTTCTTCGTTTCTATTATTATTATTGCACCTGATGATGCCAAATGTACTAGTATTTGCAGCACCCTCCTCCTTATTCTGATGATCACCCATTATAGCTGGCAAGGTATATATATATTCTTGTTCCTAGATATATATGAAGTTTTACTCAATTATTGCAAGTCAGGTTGTGATCATATCTGCAGGGATTAGAATTTATAATCTGTATGTCCGTACACGTGGTGGGCAAGTACAATATATACATATAACACTTTTACTAGGACTAGGACAATTTTAACAAGGTTTAACGTAGTACGTTATTCGTGTTGTAAGAGGATTATGCTGTGTAGTGGTGTCATATATGGTTTGTGATTCATCTTCCACGTGTATATAATGAATTGTTCAGATTGATCAGATTTTAATTTTTCCTCAAAATTTTCTAATTTATCCTTAATAAATATGATTATCTATTCACTTTTCCGTTAAATATTATCTTTTCCGTTAATTTCTGTTAGTTCATCGTTAACTTACTTATTGATTTCAATAAGAAAGGTCTTAGGTTCGAACCCCATCCCAATTAAAATTGGCATAATTAGTACTCTATTTTACTCTTATTAAATTAAATAATAATTTAGTAGCTACAACAAAAATAATACATATGTATTTTCTTAATTTAGAATTATATGTTGCCTTTATTCAAAAAAAAATTATTCATTATCAATAAATTAAATAAGAGAAATAATTTGCTTATAAAGAGTGTAGATGTTGATCTGATTTGTGCCATGTGTGGAATCATTCATGAGTACACTATGCACTTATTAATTAGTACTAGTATTTTCACCCGTGCGATGCACGAAATGAATTTACTATAATATTTTAAGAATATTTGGAACGATATATTGATGGATTATATGAACCCAGGGGTCCAGATTATACAACCGAATATATGATCGAATTATGACAAGTATAAGATTATATATATAATTATATAAATTATAACATCAAATATTATATAGTGCAATTGAAAAGATGGTTTGGATTAATTATGTTATGTGATGTTATCATTGCTTGAGTTCAACCAAATAATTGTTGAATTAATAGTTAATGTGTAGATGTACGCTGCGGTGCTGTAACTTTAGAGATTTTATATATCATTGTTTAGGATTTTTATAAATTGGGCAAATGTGCTCGTTCTCTAGCAACTTAGTTATAATAATAAATTGCTATCCTAATTCATTTGTATAGAGGATTTTTTTTTTTCTAGATATATAGCAATTTTGTCATTTTGAAAAAAAAAAAAAAAAACATAATATCATCGATTGTATTTATACATATTGAAAACTTCTTTGTAGACGACATTGGTAGTCGCAACACAATATTGTCCATCCTCGTCTAGAGCTAACACCTTCAGGCCATCATGATGGGTGACTCGGGAGAAAGCCATGTACAATTGTCATTGATTAAAGACCAGTTTTTTTAGCAATAACCCAACGTGAGTTAGTGTTTGGCCTTGACTTTTGTTTGGAAATTGTTTACGCTGGAACTTGAAGGACAATCTCGTATCAGAAGGAGTGAGAGACATTCGGGGGATAAGAACTTTGGTTCCTTCATGTGTCCCATTAACTATTCTTGCTTCGACAATGTGATCTACCAATGTTGTGATGATGAGCCGCGTCCTGTTACAAAGGCCAAGAGAGTAGTGACAGAATAATATTGTTGAATAGGAATATGAATAGGAATTTTAATATTGGTGTATTGTATTACGAATAAGAATTTTAATGTAGAATTGTAGTACTAATATGAAAGTAGGAAATTAA